GGGAAAAGAATGAATTCCTTTCCGAGGGTCGTGGGAAAAGAATGACAATCAAGTTTGGCGAGTTTCCTTAACGGTTTTGGTAGGGTTTCATAAAACATACGGTGGGAAGCGAAACAGGAAACGAACGGACAAAATGGAAACCTCTCTTTTCGTGAACCCCTTGAATACTGTATCGAGTTCTTTGGAAGAGCAGGAGGGTTATGAAAATAACGTCCTCGCCCGTATCCACATCTTTAGAGACAACCGCCAACGTAGTCCCAGTAGGACCTCCAAACACAGGAAGCACGGTCCCGGATGGTCCACCATACGTCAATGCCTCGTTGACCGGCACCGGCTGGCGACGGCCTTGCGGGGAGCAACCGTCTCGTCGCACGGGCGGGTGGTTTCTGGCTCAACGGTTAACAGTTCGGTCAGCTCCCCTCGCGCCGGCCACGAGACTATTAGAACGACTAGACCTCGAGCGCGCGCTGGGTGAGTCCCCACGTGGGCTACCATCGACCTCCACGTCCACGTCATGCCCACCTCCGACAACGGTAAGGTCCTAAGTTCAAAAGTGCTAGCTTGTCTAAAAGACAGCTAAAGTATTCTCTGTTTTCCTTTGCACGAGTTCGTGACCGACGACCTCGATGACAAAGTCAGGTTAACAAACACAACGTTCTCGATATGGTGAACGGCCAAGTGATCACAGTTGGGGTCCACAGCAAAGGGTCACAATCGCACTTAATCGAAACCACTGACTGGGACAAACCAAAATGCCACTAGCACAATATATCCATCCGTCTCGCCCATCAGCAACACACGCTCATTGCACGTGTTGGTGAAATCGTGGCTCAGCCGAGAAAAGTACGACCCAGGCAGCCATGCAGCTCCTTGGGGAACCAACCGTGTCAATGGGACCCGTAAAGCTCCGTTCAGACTGCAGTTTATGTCCGATTCATGCCCAATCTTGTGGTATGGACCGGTCATGGTCAGTTATGAAGAGGCTAATATTTCGCTGTGATGTCAATGCAGAATTCGATGGTGATTGTTCCGCACCCGCGTTGTTAACGTCCGTTAACCAACACGGAGATCAACGTCTTGATCCGATTCGCAATGCAAACTGACTGGTATTACCACTCCATTCCAGTCACTATTACTCCTGATACGGTGGCAGCCTCGCAGCCACCCAACTGCTCGAACCACCATGGATGTTCGTGCAGTAAAGTGCTGTTTGCCCTTGGTCACTTCTAAGGGCACACGTTTCACTTCCGCGAATGCCGCGGATCACCCTCCCTACAACGGGCGACCCAGGGTTGCTTCCAAGACATCACGTATCGCCTTGACGGCGCCATTGCTGGCGTGCTTCATGACCCACCGATGGAAGATAAACGGAATGTTTTTGTACAGCTGCGCGGCGGGCTCCCACGAAGCTTCTTCTTCTTCAAGGCCCTTCTACTTGACGCGCACTTCGTACTTGCCCTCTGCGCACCTTGCAGCGCCGAGGAGGGCTTCAACGAAGAAGCCTTCATCACCGAACGCCGCGTTTTCCTTCAAGTCGTCGGCCACGTCCAATGCAGAATCACAGAGTACTTCAGCCGGCTGGCGTGGTGGAACTACGTCGCAAATGGTTCAACAAGCTATTGAATTTCCATCACGTATTCTGACTCGATACGTGATACACTGTATGGACCTCTCCAGTTCAGGGCTAACTTGTTGGGAATCTTGACGACTTTGCCCAGTAGAGCATTATCAACAAGCGCAAACTTGCCATTATCACAAGCGGTATTTTCGAGCGTCGTCCCCGCGCCTGATGGCGTAATTTTTCGCTTTTCGCCGCCACGTTGCGATGAATTTTGTCCAAGGCTGACCGAAACTCGGTCATGTGCTTCTGTCGAACCGTTGCAAGTCAGTCGACTGACAAAACCGTTTTGGTTCTTGGGTGTACGAACTCAGACAGTGGTGGAGGCGACGGCAAACCTTAAAACGCTGTCACCGGAGACATTCCATCAAGCCGGTTGGTTGGCTGGTGGTTCAATGCACTTTGCACCAGCGTCAACACGCGAGGCCATTCACCCGGGCGCAGCTTCATTTCGCTCGTGAGGGTTTTCAACCCTCGCAACACAAGTCGATTTACAACTTCTACCGTGCCGTTCGCCCACGGTGTGTACGGTGTTGTGATGTGGTGGTGGGCTCCGATCATTTTCTTAATCTTCGCCACGACTTCATTCTTGAAATGTGTTCCGCCGTCAGACACCCATGTCGTCACAACACCATGCGTGGCAAACCAATCCATCAAGGTATAAACTGTGCTGTCCTCATCAGCTGCCGCGGATGGAAACTAACGACAAAATCCGCTCAAGTCGTCCTTCACAACAAGCAAGTATTTCGAACCCATTTCGGCTGGCGGCAGCTGCAACCAGTCGAAGTGAATGAGTTCGTTGCTCCGCATGCAAAGCAGCACCCCACGGTCTCGGCACCATCGTGCCGTCCACACAAAGGCAGTGCAAGCAGCTGCTCACAAATGCTTTAACGTCTTCCTTGATGTTGGGCCAGTCGAAGCGTTCCACAACGCCTTGTGTCGTCACGTCCACGCCTCGATGCCCGGCGGCGCCTTGGTGGGCAGTGATACAAGTTCGTTGTTGCAAGTCGACCGCCAGGCGGGATCCATATCTCCCCCCCAACGGTCAGGAAAAACCCATCATGGTCGCTCCATGTCACGCCGTCCTCAACGGCATGTTCTCCGGCTGTTGATCTTGCAGGTTGCAGCACTTCCAGAATTGTCGCCGCAGTTGGCCAGGTGAAATCGTTGTCTTGCAGGGGCGACACTACGACAAGTTGTCGCACTCGTGACACTCGAGCTGGCATTTGCGCCGCACCCCAGCGGCTCAACAACTTGGCCCACACGTTGTCTTCTCCTGCCACATGCTCGAGCGTGTAGGGGAAGGATGTCATGACCATGGCCCAACGTTGGAGCTTGTGAGCTTGGTAGCGGGCCATGTTGCTGTTGTAACCCAAGGGGTTAAAGATGTACAGCAAGTTGCGAGGGTTCGCGAATAGATGGAAACCTTGCTGACACAGCAAAAGGTATTCCAACCGTTTGCAAGATTCGACGATTGCAAACGCTTCTTTTCGACTGTTGGTCTACGCGCGCTTGGCTCACCAAATCCATCGCTCAAGAACGCTAACGGCTCGTGCCGTTGTTGATTAACCAGCAGGCCAAGGTCTTGCGGTGGAATCTGGGTGCACGCCGCACCCCAGTGCGTCTCGCTCGCATCGGTGTAGAGGCAGATGATCTAGTCTGACGACGGGTGTGACAGTGGCACCATTCGTTGCAACGTCTCCTTCACAGCCGCGAAACAGTCGTCGTGCTCGGCCGCCCATCCAACTGCCGCAAGCTTGGTGCGCGCCAGCGCTGTCTTCTTCGACCCGCCAGCGGCCTTCGCCGCCACATCCAACAGCTGCCGCAACGGTCCGATCAACTCGGCGTAGTTAGGGATCGAGCTACGCATCCAATTCGTTGCACATACGAATTGCTGCAGGTCGGCGCCGGTCACAGGCGTCTCCAACGCACACAAACCCTGAACACGTTCAGGCGAATGAGCGACTCCATCGGCGGAGATCACCTTTCCGCACCACATAGCTTCCTTGAGAAAGAAATCACATTTCTTGGGTGCAACTTGAGGCGGACCTTTTCGCAGATGGCCGGCACCTTGTCCAACAAGACGATCAACTTGTCCACGCTGTCCGCATACCCTAGGAGGTCGCCTAACCAACCCAAAACGCCAGCGTACAACAACTCGCCGAACATTTGGTTGACGACGGTCTGACAGAACGCTACGGCGTCCGTCTGACACATGAGGATTCTCGTAGGCGTGTACCCCCCAAATGATGTCATGAACGAGTACCACATCTGGCACGAGGGGTGCAGCGGGAGCTGCCAGTAGCCCTTGAGTCAGTCGAGTGTGAAGAACACGTTCATGCCTACAACGTCGCCATCGCGGCGTCTAAATTGGGCATCGGCCACGGCATGGGAATCGTCCATGCGTTGATAGGGCGAGAATTAATCGTCATCCGGTACTCGCCCGGAGTTTTCTTCGCCACGATTCGCGGCGCTGCCACCCATGTCGCACGATTGTTTCTGTAAACGAGCCAGGCTCGAGCTCTTCACATGCTTCTTCAGGAAGTCCATGTGGGCCGGTGGATAGCTGCGCATCGCACACTTGACAGACACGGCTACGCTATGTACTTCCTTCAGCCGAACCTTCAGCGGCTCGACGTCAACGGGCAGTTCGCGACCGAAATCAAGTCGAAAGACTCCGACATGACGTTTCAGAATTCGCCGCAGCTCGTCCTCTTGCGCGGCGGAGAGGCCACGGTCAACGGCCTCCAGCACCTTCCCATCCAAAATACGCTTTATCTCGCCGTCTGGGTCGGCGATCTTCTCCATCGCACTCGTCGTAGCATAAATCCCAACTTCATTTCGTCCTTAAAGCAAGCGACCAAGTCGTGCAGGTTCAACGTCTTCCGCGTAAACGTCATCGTCAGGGTCTTAAAGAGCCGCTTGCAGTCGACTCACGCTTGATGACACATGTCCGACGACACCAACGTCGGTCACATTCCAGACGCGGCGCTGCTTCAACGCGTCGATTAACATGGCGAAAACTGAAAACCCAAGATGTTCCATGATGGGACGTCCGATGAGTACGTCAACTTCTAGAATCTTTTCTTCGACCCAAGCTTGAAGTCCCCGCAAGACTAGTGGGCCGGTTGATGTCTCCAACGTCACAGTCTTGAACTGTATTTGGCGTGCAACGCGGAGGGGCTTGCTTGTTTTTCTGTATGGCTTCAACGTCAGGGTTGGATTCGTCTCCGCGTTGAGGCGAGCTCCGTGGCGCTCCAGCGCCAGCAACACCCTCCGGCACCAACGTCTCGTCGGAACCGGGGTCAATCAGCACACCTGGGAGAGCCAACACGTCATCCACAGTAGCTCGGCACACCATGCTGTTCGCTTCCTTCGGGCTCTTTACTGAGTTCACACTTCGACGCCGTGCCTGATAGAGGTCGTCCATTAGTTTCTTCACCTAGGCCTCGCGGATGCCGGGGAGATCACGCACGAGGTGTGCCGTCGACTGGCACTTCAGGCACTTGATTTTGGGTCGTACCGACGGCTCTCCCTTCTCCACACGCGCAGCAGACGACGCAGTTGATGCGCCACTTGGTTTCTCGTCCTGCGCATGGTTGCGACGAGGACGGGGTCGATGATCTCCCTTCCGCGGCTCATCTACCGTGGGTTTCGTCGGTTTCTCATTTTCGAGGCCACCGTACAGCTGGTAGCCAGCAACAAACTTGCGCAAAAACATAACGTACTCGAACAAGTCTGTCTTGGTGTTCTTGTTGCGATGCAGTTTCAACTGCTTCGCCATAGCCACTTGTAGTGGCGCAGGCTTGAGAGCGTCGGTGATGTCACTCGCCACCAACTTGCCCTCCTGATCGAGGACCCACTCTTGGCCTTCTGCCTCGAGCACTCGTATCAGGTTGTCGAGCATTCGACTCACTCGACTGTTGGCGTCGAGGATCTTCGTGTCGAATTGAACTGCAGCCTGCAGGCGCTTCTTCATCGCATCCAATTTGTAAGGCTCCTCGTTTTTGGCTTGCTTGAACCAACCGATCCACTCTTCTTACGTGACATCGCTTGGGGACCTTCCGAAGTCGAACATAGCGCTGCGACGCTTAAAAAAAGGATCATACAAGCGCCAACAGGTCGATAGATTTGAACGCCATCGCTTGCGAGGCGTATCGCTGATACTCCCGGATGATGAACACACGCCGCTCAGGCTTTGTTGATCCCTTGTAAGCAGGCGGTTGCGGTAAAGCCGGGGCGCTCAACACCCTCATGGGCTCGTCCTGGCCCATGTCCACATCTTCTGCTGCACTCGGCGCGGCAGAAGGTTCGTCCGGCAGCGGCACGTCAGCTGCTGACTTCGGCGCAGCCGATTGCGTCCATCTTGACGCCATCCCAACCTTATCCATAAACCACGGCATCTGGTTGATCGGCTATCGCTGAGTTCTTGGTGAACCTAATGGCCCGCTGAAACGCCAGCGTTCACGACCACGCATTGTCGTACGCATTTCGTCATCGTCGCGCTCCGGCGACCGAGACTTGCGACTGAGGGACTGCTCTTCGGCGTCACTCATTGTAATACCGATACGTTCTCTAAAGAATTCTTTGTTCCACACCCGAGTTGTCAACGTCTCTTAAGAGCCTGGTCGCTGAGTAATCCATTCCAGCTTTTTGAAATTCAGGCTGGGATAAAATCAATTTGATTGGTCAATTTATCCGAAATCCGCATAACGTTCCTGCCTGACAATTTGGTTTGAGGCAGGGATCTGACGTTCCTGCCCTGTACCAGCCATTCCTGCTTTACAGTCAATTTGCAGACTGACCCATGAGTGATGACGACGACGCTCATACGCATGATGTAGAAACCCATGGTATCAACTACAATGTCTACTTTCAACGTATACTGACACTCAGTACATAGCGCAACTAACACCAAAGGCCAAGAAGGCCAGACGCGCAAAGCGCACGTCGGTCGACACCCCAAAGCGAGGCTCGCTTTGGGACGACAAGAGTGTCCATGAATTGTTCCGACTTCGGTACAAGTCGCAGTTGGCCAAGCGTTTCGACTCGAAAAACAACGCCGAGAAGAAGGCAGCGTAGGTTATGCTGGCGGTGGAGTTGAGCATGTCGACGGAGAAAGAGTTTTCCGTTGCTCAAGTACAAGACAAGGTAAGCTGTAGTATCTGTATAAACTCCCATTATATATTGTATATTTTCGCTTTATAGTTCTTGAAAATGAAGGCCGCATGGGCATTGACGAAACCTTGGAGTCCCAGCGAGACTGGCAATGGTACAGCTAGTGCATTGCCACTGCACTACGACGTAATGATGGAATATTGGAGCGACAAAAAAGGCTTCCAGCGAGAGTCATTGATGTCAACGGACGAAGCATTGGTCGAGCCCAGTAAAACTCTTGATGGTTTATAACGATATATGTATTTTTGTTTTATTGCAATGGAAATATATTCATAGAAAATGAAATCAAGCAAGAACAAGAGTTGAAGTCGGATTCTGAAACCGACAAGTCGTACGCACGACCTCCAAAAAAATAAAGGCAATGAAACCGAAGAGACACAGTGAGGCTTTAGAAGCTGGTCATATGGCCATCAATGATGGATTGTTCCACTTGGGAACATCCATGGCAGCGACGCAGGCTCCGGTGCCTGCTCCACCATCGGGAGCAACGTTGAACGATGTCTTGCGTGCGATTCAGGGACAGTCGGACACGATGGCGCAGCTCATAAACCATTTGGTGGCTCAAAAGGATAAGTAAATACAGTTTACAATTTTCGAATTCTAATTGTCAAAGTCTCATTGTTGAAGTCGCAATGTCTAAGTGTCATTGTCGAAGTAGCATTACAAGTGTCAAAATCTCATTGTTAAATTTTACAATTGCCAAACTCACATTGATATTGCTTTAAGTCTTGGTTATTCCATTTCGTTTGACTTAAGCAGTGCGACGAATAAACGATTTTGTTTTCTGTGTCTTGCTCATCATTGGGTTGAACATACAGGTTGCGATCGCGGCGACGCGACGGCTGAGAGAAATGACAATCATTGAAGTGAATGAACATGTTGTGCAAAACAAAGCAGCATGTCGTGATGGCAACTGTGTGGTCCAGCGACTTTTCGTTCATGACAGTTTTCAAAATTCGGAACCGTTCCTTTAAACGACCGAAGGCGCATTCGCCAGGCATACGTGTGCTCGACAATCGGCAGTTGAATTGCCTTTGAATTTTGAACAATGCCCCACCTTCTTCGTGCGGCATAAACGGTGTCAATAGCCAAGGCAGCAAAGTGTATCCAGAGTCCTCAATTATGTTGCTGCCAGTTGGTATTTCACGTAGAATTGTTTGCCCCAGTTTTGACACATTCCAAATTTTCATGTCTGAAATTGACCCCGGTCGAATATCCACGGACAAAAACACCATACGATGATCCACCAGTGCTTGGATGTTTAAAGAGGGGTCCCCATTTCTGTTGTAAAAACCATCATAATCCCGTGGTCTTTGTATGTCAATAAGGGTCCCATCCACTGCACCAACGACGCTACGGAGGTTTTGGCATTTGTAAAATCCATGTTCAATGAATTGCCACTCATGATTGCTGGACGGCAAGCGTATTCATTGTTGAGCATTTTTAGAGACAGCAAGCACAATTAATGTCACCACCTCAATACACCACGTCTTTGCCATGCCAAACGCTGCAGATGTCTCATGATATCCACCTTCTGAGCCCAAGAAGTACAACAACACAGTAGCTTTCTTCTCGAAGGAATGGGGATAACGACGTTTATTGATTTGAGGTAAATGTTGGCGCAACCACTCCACAAAACGATGAAACGCTGCCTGGTCACAACGCAGATTGTCCCGAAACCACTGATTGTACTGAGGATCCTCAAGCATGATGTCGAAGTCAACTTGCTTTAAGGTCAACACGTTGTATTTTGAGGCCACCCCACCAGAGGCCACCGACAAACACACACCACACACCACAGCAGCGACGGCAACGACAACCTGACCAAATGTGTCCATTGTATCTCCAACCACGAAAAGCAGGAATGGCTTCACCGACCACAAAACCAAGCATAATCCGAATAATGATTATCCGTAAAAAGCAGTGATGGCAAAAAGTGGGACAAAACTTCAGCGACCAGGCTCTAACCAACTCGGAGATCTACGTCTTGGTCGGATTCTCAATGAAAATTGACTAGTATTACCACTCCATTCCAGTCATTACTTCTCCTGAAACGGTGGCAGCCTTGCAGCCACCCAACTACTCGAACAACCACGGAAGTTTGTGCAGTTAAGTGCTGTTTGCCCTTGGTCACTTCCATGGGCACACGTCGCACTTCCGCGAATGCCGGGGAACAGTGATCTTGCAGAATTCGTCCCATGGAGCAACGACAAAGTACGTCCCGACGACATCATGTTGGACACCAAGTTCTATTTGCCCCATGTCGTCGCACTGGGAAACAACGGAGGCCACGGTTGTCTGCTGGCTGCGGGACAGTGCACTTCACGATTACGATATACTAGTCGATCGGTGCGACTGTAAACAAAGCCGTGGAGAAACGGCGGCTTCCTTCGGCAAGAACAAGCGTTATAAGCTCAACAAGACAGTGTACGAACCAGATCCAAATTTGGTGGTGCGGCAAGTGCCTGCCATGGTTGTCTTATGGCCGCAAGACACATCCACTTCCCTCACAAGACAGACTTGCCATCCCAATTAAGACATAGATCGGTACGACCTTTTAGCCGTGGAGTGAGGAAGGCTTCCGTCGGCAAGAATAGCCATTATTACCTCAAGAAGAGATAAAGGAGAAGCAAGTATGCGAATTCTAACGTGGTGATGCGACGAGTGCCTGCCATTCATCCATCCCAGCTGAACAAAACAGCAACAACCCAGAGGCACCCAGAGG